TTCAGAACCGCGCGTTTCGGCCTGTGTGCCTATTTCGACAGTTCGTTGAATTCTAACAAATCATTGTGGTTAGGGGAAGTGTTGTAATACAAAAACACGAATATTCCCGTTTGACACCACACATGGTGGAGAACCAGGGTAAAGTTAAATTCATGTTTGAATACTTGAATGAATGTGAATTAAGCAGTTAATTAAGGAAAATAAAAGGAACGAAAACATTATCCAGTGTTAAGAAAGTGTAAATCATAATGTATTTAGAAGATACTGATACTTATTCCTTCCAGATACTGGAAGGAAGAGAAAAGATTGATTGCTGAAGACCAGAAAGGATCCTGTAAGAAGAGATGGTAATTTTATGTATCTACAGAAATGATTCTAATTTTTGAGAAAACAGTTTGTTTTATGTAAACGGGGCTCTTGAGTTTTAGATCAGAATGTGGAAACTTTTTCAACAGGTCGTTTCTAGGACCTGCTTCCAAGTTTACCAAATTCTGGCAGCGGCAAATGTAGGGTTTATATTTATTTTAACTAACATTTATTTTAAGCTATCTTTCCTGTCAAGCCTTTACTTTCCCTTGGAATTGCCAATGCCAGAGTATGTAAATCGTAGTAGAACGCGCAGAGTATTCAAATTTTAGCAGAAGTAATTGAGTTTAAATAGAAGGGAAGCGAGATTGTAAGTGTGCTTCTTGTATCACGAGCGTGAAGGTTGCTTGGTAGAAAGTTTAAGAACCGCGCGTTTCGGCCTGTGTGCCTATTTCGACAGTTCGTTGAATCTTTAAAATTCTTAATCAAAAGTTTGCTGAATCTCAGCTGTATCTTAGAACGCGGTTAAGATAGTTACAATTATAGGCCTAGTAGATAGTGACTTCGTTAGTTATGCATCCTGTCATTTATTTTTAGCTGTACTTTTCTATTTTTGTTTAACCGCCGGGTCGGCAGTTTGTGAGCGTCGAGTGAACGCATCTATGATTTCTAAAGTGAAATAAAAAGGGACTTAAACCCTTCTTACGAGTTTGTATTATTTGCAGTTTACAGCAGTCACTACTACTGTTGCTGACCAGTTGGGGCCAAGCAACATCATAAGTTAATTAACAAATTATTCAATAACTAATAATGAATTATTCAATTATTCAACAACTGATAATAAATTATTCAAATAAATACTTTATTAAGAAAGATGTATGTATAAGAATCATAAAATTAAACTACTGTTCGAATATGAAACTGAAATTCAACGAAATGAACCAAGACTTTTCCCATTTTATGAACTTATATGTATGTTAGCTTAAAACTTATAATCATTTTCTGTAACCGCATTGTAAAATTCGTTATCTATAATTTAAACCCTGCTTATTAGAAACAAATAATAGCAATAAAGCAATCATTTTGATATAATCATGTTCTGTAACCACATTGTAAAATTCGTTATCTATAATTTGAACTGCTTATTAGAAACAAGTAATAGCAATAAAGCAATCATTTTTGATAATAAATATGATGAAACTACATCACCTTCCTGATGCTACCATCTCTAAAATTGTCAGTATTTCTGAGAGCATAAACAAACATCAGTAATTGACATCGTCGATAATCATGCTCTTTAGGCTGAGCACTTCGCAAGTAGTATTCTTTTGAATCATGTGGAATGGTTTTGGAACCAATTATGGCTTAAATTGAACAGATGGGAGAATAAAATGTTGAATACGTTGCATTAAATGTTTGAAAGATTATGTTATACCTCAAATATAAATTTTCCTCCTCTGCCAAAACTGTTTTATTCTGGGTTAGTTTTAAAAAAAATCTAGTCAATGTAACGAAATGCCCTTTTACAGTTGTCAGAGGGGACAAAAAGTTGACAGTACAAATGGAAGCAATGGGCCCTACAGCGAAGGATGTCAGAGAAGATCGGAGAAGCCAAGTTAAGAACGCATCGAAGAAAATGCTGGTATTTGTTTTCGACATAAAGGGAACACTGGATCAAAAATTCGTCCTCCCAGAATAGATAGTCGATCTGGCAATTTGTTATGATGTTTCGAAGTGGCCGAGAGAAATGTTTCGACGCAAAAGACGTCAACAGTAGCGGAATGAGAATTGGTTAATATACAACCAGTATTGGCTAATTTTTGTACATTTTACGGTCAATTTAAGATGTGCATTCGGTCACGGATCGTACAGTATTTTACGTACCGCAAATATTTGGGAATAAATGCTGGAATAATAGCAAAGGAATTTTTCCAAATTTTTGTAATAACAATTTAAAATAATCATAGCAGATACAACATCACGAAGAACAAAAGTAAGATTACCTAAATAAATTCGAAATCTCATTAAAAATGTACTTTTCCAAAACATTAATGTTTTAAGATTATATCTTAAGATTAAAATACAATATATAACGTAAATTAATTAAAACAATACTGACCTTCATGCAAAGAAGAAATAAAGCCAATGCTCAGTAATATTGTTGATAACTCCTAAGTTGATATTAAGATATTAAAAGTAAGAAAATGTACGCAGATTCGCAAATCTACGGTCGATAATAATAAAAATTTTAGTCTCAGAAAAGTAATTGCCTACCCATTCATCATTGCTGTATCACGATAATACACCAAGGCACAATGCCTTCAAGACGCAATCGTTTTTAAGGGAAACGAAACTCATAGAGATTTTTCATCCGTTCGATTGACAAACATAGCACCTTTGCTGGATTAGCAGGAGTAAAACCTAGTGGACTGAAAATCCAGATTGAAAAGTCTCCGTTTTTCCTAAGGAATTCAAACCGAATCGCAGAAGTTGCTAAATGCATTTTGATTAAAATCTCCCATACAACATTCCTATCACTTTTAATCGAATAACTGTTGCGTAAGTTTATATCTTAGCTGACACTGGACAGCTTTCAAAGTAATTGGCACTGTTATGCAGTAGTTATACAGCAAACTGTAAATCACCTTAAATATTTACCCGCAGCCTTGTGAGAAACTACATAAGACTGGAGAGAGCATGAGTTCTCAGTTTCAACATTCTTAGTCGTTTGAAGTGGTAACTACTGGTTTTCTGTATGTGTATTTTTATGGAAAGGTCAGAACTGTAAAATTTTCCTTTTGGTAAAATAAATTTTATGAAGTTATTATCGGTACTGGGTGTATCATGAACCCCTACGCACGTAACAATATTTAAATTAGTAAAATTTAAATAATTCTGAAGTCAGTGTTAATATGAATCTCTGGAGGACTGTTGTTGCTATTAGGCTTATCGATGCATGAAACGAGAAAAACAATAGTAGCCTCGCCGGAATTCAAACCATGGATTTTCCACTTTGTTACCTAAATGTGCTAATTATTTATACCATGAGAGTGTGATAATTCCTTTCATTCTCCGCTACTTCAAGGGCGAGTGGAAAGACGCACGAAATCCAGTCAACCAGATTAACATAAAAACTTCCATTCAGATGGTGATGTCCCCCTCTCGGAATTCTTAAATTTGAAATGATGTGGGTAAAAGTATACCTAATTTTTTACCTTGTTTACTAATCATTATTTATTGCAACAGCGAACATATATTTCTAAAGTATGAAAAAGCATGTCTACGATGTGACCGCCGTGTGATGTATTTTGTAAGGGGCTTTATTTTTTTGCCGTTATTTTTTGCATGACGGTGTTAAAAAGCAAGGAGATTTGCCGCTGTTTTATTTCTTACCGCAATGTTTTATACCGGGATATTTTAGAAGCAGATTTTCGGCGGATAATAGATAAATAACTTAAGAAATAATGTACAAGCTGTAATAAAAACTGTATTTCTTTCTCTAATTAAAAATGATGTAAATGTTTAATTTACTCAAAAATGACATAAAATTCACGCTTGAGGAAGAATATGCTGTAAAGAAGAGAGACCAAATCATTTATCTATCGAAATGCTTCTAATTATTTCTTTCGAAATCGACAGTAAATAAAGATTAAATTTGACAGTTCTCAGCATATTTTCACTGTTGAAGAAATATTGTTACCGCATTAGAAAATTTGTGATTTTTGATGGCATTTTACCTTTGACTAAAACTGGAAATAATATACAATTCTTAGAAATATCTTAATAAGCAATAAACGAAGAAATGAAACCTCCGCAATGCGTTCAATAATAAAAATTGTAAGAAATATTTCAACAATTAGATTTCAATTTCTTTGACACATTAAAATTATCTTCTGACATCTTACTTTCCATATTTATAAATGCTTACGTTCAGAATATTCATTTTATTTTAGTTAAATGTTTAAATGAAATGAAACCCCCTCAACGCGTTCAATAATAAAAATTATAACAAATATTTCATCAATTAGATTTCAGTTTCTTTGACACATTAAAATTATCTTCTGACATTTTACTTTCCATATTTATAAATGTTTACGTTCAGAATATTCATTTTATTTTAGTTAAATGTTGTTAATAGTATATTCGTAAACACTTTTCAAAAAGCATCCCGGTTAAAGTCTGATAGTTATACTTGTAAACTGAAAAATCATTATTTTTGTCGTAGTATTTGAATCATAATTATTCTTATAATAATGGAGTATAAGTATTTGGTAATATCAGAGTACAAATTTTTATTTCTTTAAATTATACTTAATAACATGCAAATGCGTATGCATCCAGATAAAGGGGGAAAAAAATGCTTTCTTGCTTTGCGTTTCATGAGAATAATTTGTATTTAAATACTGTATATTTAGCAACAAAATGAAACAAAAAATGAATAAAATATTTCGTAGCTGTAATCCCAATGAAGCAATAATTTGCCGCTGTAATCGCAGTGAATAAGCGCATTGTCAACTGCATCGATTTGATGACAGAAGCAAAGACACAAAGCTCAATTCCTTTAGATTAATTCCTTTTGTATTTGATTTTAGAGCTTTCTTCTGCATAATTAGCATTTTCGCAGCGTCGCGCATATTTAAACTCAACCTGAATTACGACCACGTCATCATCCCTTTCTATTACGGCTTCAGCTCCATCAGCTGCGTGAGCAACTTGCTCTGTTTAACAGCCAGATGACTCAGCGAGGATTTAAACTTCACAGAGAGCAAAAGCTAAATGGCCTCTAGAGATCGAACAGTTTGAATCTTCATTTATAATTTCGTGACTTTATTACTGTAAGTTTTTGTTCGTGATGTATGTATTATCACGCTTACTAACTTTTCAAATATGTATATTCACTTTTTTAGACATTTTCTCGTTCCGATTTCACAGTTTCTTTTACTGCTATTCGCAAAATTGTTTTTATTTATTATCCCAAAGGGCTGGTAGCCCAGAAGGGTCATTAGTCTCAAAACGGCATTTTGTGGCACTTCACTGTAAACGGCAAATCACTTTTTAAATTGTTGCTACCAAATATTATAGCCCTGTATTATATTTAAAGAAATTAAATAATGAAGAATGTGCATGAATGTATGTATGTTTCTCGCACTGTGAAAAAATGACGGTACCTAGAGCCGTCAAATTTTGAATAACATAATCCTCCAACCGAACATGGGGACCTGGAAGCCGGAATTTTGAATTTGTTTTATTAGCTATTTTATATTTTGTAAAACTTTAAGGAAATTTTATTAACAAACTCAACGATTTCAAAGCGAGCAATGGCAACACTACACGAAAAATAAAAATTAAAAATTAAAAAGAAACATTTTTATCTCCAGCGTACAAGACTCTCTATCGGAAATTCTAAGGATATGCTGTTTTTAAATAGTTTGTGATATTGCTGTTAAATTGAATTTTATGTAGTTTAAGTGCGAAGAATTAATAAATAATTGTTTAATAAATAAAAGTAACACACAAAATGTTAAAAAAAAGTCCCTTTGGGCGTAATATAAAATCTTAAAGCTTTCAAACTTTTTTTCCTGATTTTTTTCTTTTTTCCAGTTTTAGGAATTGCAATTTAGAATTGAAATTAATAAATACTACACATTAATCATTACAGAATGCTTCATTATTCTTCAGAAATCCGAAGTGATTTTAAGAACACTTTCGTGGTAGTATAACAGAATTTAGGGAGCTGAAAGTTTCTAAATTTGATAATCTTGAAGTTATTTCTAGGTAAAAGTTTAAACGTTTTTGATACTTTCAAAAAATAACATCGGAACGTCAAACGCACTAGTCTTTACGTTTTACGGTAAACATTTGAAGTGAAAAGCAACAGTTTTAGAATTTCGAAACAGGAGTTTTCTTGCCCTAGTTGCAAGAAAAGTGAGTTGTAGAGAAATGTTTATACTCAGTAATGCTAACTTTAAGCCTGTAGCTAGCAACCTCTGAATGGAAATGCAATTAATACTTAGTATTGGATAAACACTTCCAGATATTTCTGTTAAATGAAAGAAGGAAGAGATAATAGGAACTTCACATTACTTCTAACTGTAAAGGCACAATAGGTTTCACAAGTTTCGCTTTGGAAATCTATTATGAAATCTCCTGCGTATGGCAACAAATGTAGAACTATTGATAATTTTCTGTTATTGGCATGTGAAAATGGTTCGTGAATTTCATGCATTTTCCAGGTATTTATTTTAAGCAGTTTCATGCATAATTTATAAATCTTGTATTTAGCAGAAATATAGTAAATAAACAATGGAGCAAAAAGATAACTGAAAAGCGTAAAGAAATACAATATTAGGTCAAATAAGTGAAAAAAATGGCAAAAGGAATTCGAAGGAGGAGTTTCTGAAAGCATAAAAGACGCAAAATGATCTGGTGAAAAAAGGAAACAATAAGATTACTCAAAAAATAAAAATTAAAAGCGTTTAAAAGTTTCCAAATTACTCTATCTCAAGATTATGTTTTGGTGCGTATACACGCACACATTATTAAAACATTTAAATAAAATTAGTAAAAAAAAAGTCTTATATTGGTGTAGATTTTGAATAAAACTCTATCGATTTCGAAGGTGATCAGGCGTAGGTTCGTTTCGCTCCTGAAGGGAGAGTTCTATGTCTGATTTCCCTCAAAATCAATACCGTTTTATTCTAAATCTACGCCCTGCTTTTTTATCTAATTTAAAATTTTACATCAGCATGTTTCTCTCTGAGTTAAATGCATTATTTCATAAATTTGAAATTTATAGTGTTTTTCTCTTTCGGCAAGAGACGGTGCAAATTTAATTTAAAATTTAAAATTTTACATCATGTTCTCTCTGAGTTAAATGCATTATTTCATAAATTTGAAATTTATAGTGTTTTTCTCAAAATTTCGGCAAGAGACGGTGCAAATTGAATTAAAATTTAAATTTTATCAGCATGTTTCTCTCTGAGTTAAATGCATTATTTCATAAATTTGAAATTTATAGTGTTTTTTTCCTCAAAATTTCGGCAAGAGACGGTGCAAATTGAATTTAAATTTAAAATTTACATCAGCATGTTTTCTCTCTGAGTTAAATGCATTATTTCATAAATTTGAAATTTATAGTGTGTTTTTCTCTCAAAAATTTCTCAAGAGAAAAAACGGTGCAAATTGATTTTAAATTCTAAAAAATTTACATCAGCATGTTTTCTCTCTGAGTTTAAATGCATTATTTCATAAGAGTTAAATGATTTGAAATTTTATAGTGTTTAAAAATTTTGTTTCATAAATTTAAATTTTACTCAATGTTTTCTCTCTGAGTTAAATGCATTATTTCATAAATTTGAAATTTATAGTGTTTTTTCTCAGTTCAAAAATTTCGGCAAGAGAGGTGCAAATTGAATTTAAAATTTAAAATTTTTACATCAGCATGTTTCTCTCTGAGTTAAATGCATTATTTCATAAATTTGAAATTTATAGTGTTTTTCTCAAAAATTTCGGCAAGAGACGGTGCAAATTGAATTCAGATTCTTCCACTAGCGGCGGAGTGATAAAGTCGCCGAAGCCTGGTAGTTTGATCTGGGTCGGATTCCAGGTGAACGGTTTATCTGCATGGACGTTTTGGTGGTTCTTCGTGTGCAACGCGGATGCCATCCAGTTTCCTTTGAAAAGTCTTCCACGAAGGCATCCCTCCTTTTAGGCACATAACCTCGTGTGCATCGCCATAATCAAATAAACCAAACCGAATTCATATTCAAATTAGGTATTTCTTATTTCTTCAAAATATTTAGTTTCCAAGGAAGTATTATTACGAAAGCAGTCAGAAATTTTAGGACATATTAGTTTTATTCTAATCAACATTAGTTTTACTATTTTTCACTTCTACAACTTGTTGGTATCTCAAATTCATGCATGTTTCAAAAAACGAAACTTAGAAACGAAAGAAAATTTAAATAAAATCTCGAAAACTTACCATCTATCTTCATTTCGCAGCTTATAGCACGCCAGCATTTCTCTACAAGGTTTCGACTCGAATGACCTTTCGTCCTTTTATCCCAAATAGGGCGCTTTTTCTGAATTTTCGAAATAAGCGCATAGACATCCATTGAAAAAATTACACCAGCGCCCAGCGATATTAAAAAAAAAAAAAAAAAAAAAATCCTCCGATAGGCTCGTCGGTACTGATTACTCGCGCCTAGCTAGTGATGAAGAAAGCGGGTAAGGAGAAGTATTATCAGAATCATTCGTAGACTTCCAGTTTACAATGTTTTCCTTTCAGCAGCTGTTCGGCGCCTATTGCCTGCCAACCTGCAGCAATCGTGACAAAGCAGAAGCTTATGCAGGCAATGTTTTTCAAGTCATGGGTAAAAGAAATAAAAACGAGGAAATTAATTGTTGTAAAGGCAAGGAGCAGGTAAATATCCTTAAAAGAGGTAGTATTTCCTTTCCTCTTTCTGATTAAAAAAAAAAATAAGTCATTTTCCCTTTTCCAATTTAAATCCTTCTTTAAGAAATTATTAAAATAAATTTTTGAAATTCTTTTTAAGGCTTGGAATTACTGGTTTAGGTATAATTGTTTTCACTTTACTAAAAAAAATTCTGTTCTTGAAATTTCGTTAGTGGCTGAGGAGAAAGACAGTTGAACCCTAGTAGTTCATTTCGGCTTTAGCTCCAGACGAATGGGTTGGATGCATGGGGTTTTCGTGCTTTTCTATGTTTAATACGAATGCGACCCAGTTTCAGTACTCCACGCAGGCATCTCTCGTAAAGCAACTAACGTTTGCGTGCTCACTGCAATCAGTGCACGAAAATCATCTGTTCTGAAAAGTAGGAAACTATTATTTTTGTCTTCCAAATTATAACAGTATCTAAGTATAACCAAGTGAGCCCTTTAGAAACAGTTCACATTTTTTTAATATTTTCTTCATAAATTTCAGTAGCAAAATGTTTGATTTATGTTTATGGCATATTTGTGAAGATTATGAGTCATTTCAAACCAGAAAATATGGAAAAGTTAACTGTGCCTCGGATCACAGATCTTCCAGTGTTTGCTGGATGAGCTAATCACTTACATCACAAAAGCAAGCACGGGGCCATGCGATAATTCCCTACATTCTTCCTCATTTAAAGAAAAGAACGTAAAGGACGTTAAGAAAAAGACAAGAGACCCAGCCGACCTAATCCGTATTGTGACGAATAATCACTCACCACATCAGTCACTGTAGAAATTACTGCGTGCTCTGAAACTGGATAGACGTAAACTCAACAGCATTTTTGTCAGGATTCAAACCCTGAATTCCCCACTGATGAGCTGTATTAACCACGTACACCACAAGAGCACGTAAGAAAGAATGTGATAGTTCCTTACATATTTCGTAAAAGACGTCATATATTACGAACTTATATAACCTCTGTCTAATTCTCCTACCTATTCATATCGTCTACGTTTAAAAGACGATTTCGTGATAATAATCTTCTGCAGCAACGCACATGATGGTGTCCCGAAGTTAAGCACAATCTTTATACTTATGAGCATTTATCAAGCAAAATATAGGAATGTATTGAAACTTGGTATGCTTGTACGATAAAGTATTACAAGGACAACAACAGAAAAAATAAGAATGCAAAAGAATTTTTGTAGAAATATGCATGATTTTTGAAAAATGCCAAATTCAGATTCTCCTTTTCGGGTGAAAAAAATTGAAAAAATATTCGTATATAAAGAACGTTACGTCTAACTTTTGTTGTAACTGGCGCGACGTAGAAAAGATAGCTGAGCGGAGTGGAAATACTTTTCCACAGTACATTATTTCTATTATTAGAAAAGTTTTGAGTACATTATTTAAAGGTATTTTAAACGTTTGTTGTACATTTATTATAAGAAACAAGTGCTTTTGCCATGAGCCAAATATTAATTAAATTATGTTGAAACATTGGGAAAAGTCTCATGTTAAGATTTTCCGTATAAAATACTTCACTTTAATTGCTAACTAAAATCTAAACATGTAAAGTTAGAAATAGTTGTATATACATTTTTATAATTGGAATGAATTGATTTGCACAACAGATATATACTAGAGCATGTTCATTGTAAAAGCTTAAACTATTCAGTGCTCAATTTAGAATATGTAGAATATTCAGAATATATAATATCTTTTATTAATTTAAATAATGTTGCAGATACTAATGAAAATCCTCTATCAGCCAATTATATTATATAGTATTTAAAATTATATCACTTAGATACATTATTAAAACAAAATTAAACACAAGATGATTGCCAGGAATGGTGGTGCTTGGTTAACTACAAGTTGACATTCAGTTATGTCCAATAAACAGGTCACCAGTGTGGGCCAGTGCATTAAATTTGGATAGCCATTTTAAAGTACTATTAAAATGAACTACCTCGATGACTGTCAAGGCGTTGATCATCAATGTAAGTTGAGGGTGACTGGAAGTTAACCCATAGGTCACCAGTATGCTGAGATGTCAGTAAATTTAGATAAATTAAAAAATTAAACTAAAATCGAAGAATACTAATATATTCCATTGCTGTACGTGGCTACCCATCTCTAGGCTGAAGGTCTCTGGCAATTAACTTACGGGTCATCGGTATGGGGTAGTGCAATAAATTTAAATAATTAAATTAAAATTAGGTCAAAGCTCTCGTTAAGACTGTTCAAAGCTGTAAGTAACCGATTCCGCTAAGTCTAAGGGATTTGTAGGTCGCAGTGACTTACAAATTGAGGGTCTTCGAATATAAACGAATTGGTCACCAGTGTGGAGTAGTGCAATAAATTTAGGTATGTTTAAAAAAATTAAAACTTTGGACATCAATGTACTTCAAGGCTGCTGGTTACCGATGTCCTAGATGTTGAAAGTCATCTGGGATCAATTCATAGGTCACCGATGTAGGGTAATGCCTTAAATACAAGTAAATATTTTAAACTTAAAGTTCACGGTACAGCGACGCCCAGCAAAACTATTCATCACCGTAACATAACAGTCATTAATCTAATGGTTCATGGTCACTACGTGTTGACCTTCCAGGTTCATATCATACAAGTTCAACTTCCACGTTTCACCAGTGACTCGCGTTGCTTTAAATTTAGAATTATTCCAAAATGAAAGTATATCGCAGGACACTGGCGGCCATCAAAAACTAAGATTACCAGTGACGGTCACCGGTCTGTTGTTAAGCAGTCAATTTAGTTCTCTTTAGCCCAAAAGTACTAATGGTCTCAAAATGGGATTTTGAGTCGAATCATTGCAAATGTATTACTTCATTTTTTATTCGAGTCTGTTGCCATTTAGCAAAATGTAAGATATTTATCTTTTAAGTTGAATCTATCTTTCAAGGTAGTTAGAAGAAGTGGAGTAAGTTTGACGTCAGAAAAATTGAAGCGAAGAAAATGTCAACAAGGTGACATCACGACACATCATAGCCACCATACAGCGCACAGACAAGTTTTCGAAGCATATTGTTAAATAAAATTACACTGACAGCAAATATCAACTTTCGAAAGCTCAGAAAAGGTGTCTTTAAGTATAATTTGCATAAAATATCATTGAAGTTTCGCTGGTCTTCCGGATTTTACCATGTATACATTTGTCTTATAGTTATCATTTACACGTACCTAGATTTTATTAAATTTGAAACCGTTATTTGAAATCCTTGCAGTTTTTCTATATTTTATGTAGAAAATCAATTATATTATCTATTAAAACTACAACTGGATGTTTATAAACGTTCGATGAGGTACAGCTGATATATTCTCTTTTTTTATGGCGAGCACTAGCCCTTTTAAGCTTTGGCCACTATCAAGACCAGAAGCGGTGAAGCATCTATGAAGGGACAAACAATTTACATCCATGCCTTCTCTGGGATTCGAACCCGCGCTCTTCGGTAAGGCAGTCACTAACCACTATCCTGAGTGAGAGGCTATAGACAACACCAATTAGAATGTAAGCAAAACCAACCAGAAGTTTGCCTATAGCAGCTGCCATGATAAATCGCGACGTCATACTGTAACACCTTAAGGCTTCATTTTCATTGCTGGGGACATACGGAGAAGGCTTACTCTATATATTCTAACCTCCTTGCTATCTGTTGTGGATTAACAAACTAAGCTATTTGAAGGCAACAGATGCAGTTCTTAAGAAAGAGTATCCATTTTTAGTTTGAGTCGTATAGATTTAAATAATAAAAATGCTTTTAATTCATGATGTATCAAATTAAAAATATTCAATATTTTCACGGAATGACGTCATATTTTTACTACCTATTTCATATTTTGCAAGACTTTAATGAATTTTTGATTAACAAACTCGATGTCTTGAAAGCGAGCAATGGCAACACTATTCGGAATAAAACATTTTTACCACCAGCGCAGGACACTGTCAATTGGAAATTCTAAAGATATGCTGTTTTTAAATATTTTGTGACTTTGCTGATGAGTTGAAATTTATGTCGAGTAAGCGTGAAGAACGGAATATTTAATAAATGAAATTACCACACAAAATGTTAATAATAAAAAGACAAAAAATAAGTTTTGTAAGCCATCTTACTAAGAACACTGATCATTGATACGATAAACTTAGAAAAAGAAAAAAAAAAAAAAAATGTATGCCACACTTCATTGGTAATTCTGAACATATGCTGCTATGCTTCTTTTAAAACTTTTGTGATTTTGCTATTGAATTGTATACGGCGTAAGTGCGAAGAAAACGATGCTTGATAATAAAACAAAAAGGATTAGAAATAGGAGGTATCAGAAATGAGTGGTAGATTGTGAGGTCAGCAAGAGTATAAAAAAACTTCACGAACTCTATTGGGCGATCGTTAAAACTTGAAACCTTTCAGATTTTTTTAAAATTAAAATGTAAGTAAACCTCACCACCACTCACTAAGTCTTTGATTATGATTTAGTGCATTAGTTGTATATTTCATAAAACAAGATTTCGAAGATACGTTATGGTTGGGCAACTAAACGATCGTTTTATAAAGGGTACTTGCATTCTATGTATGCGACTACTAACGAAAGCGTATGCAAATAAATAGCAGGTGTATCATTTGGCTTATCTTCATTAAAGATACATATTGCTTCGTTTAAACATCTCCCGATCTTATCAAAACATATTTTATAGTTTGTGCAGCCGGTTTGTGCAGCTTATTTCACGACACAGAAATACTATAGATAACTTGCCCCGCTTGAATAATTTTTACTTTTATTTTCAACGGATTTCAGCACAGTAGCAGAATATTTATAAACAAGTACCGAAAGCCAAAATAAATACAGAGAAACTTCTCATGAAGACCACCTCCTGTAGATGATTACTTCTCAAAATAATCCATTTTTTTAGAACATAAAATAACGCTACAGATCGTCACTGATGGTCATGTTCTCACTTCTA